GAAGGCGGTCGCCAACCTCCCTTTTCCTGCTTTCCGGAATCTGTGCCGATGATCCGAGGCGGTGACCGACGCGTTGTGTGACGGACGGATCGTTAGGGGGGGGGGACCCGGAAGGGGAGGCTCGCCATCCCTGTCGCTCCCGGTGGGGTCCGCGGCGGCGGGAGCGGGACGGGCGCGCGGGCTGGCGCAACCCCCTGGACCGGGCAGCCCCGCGCGCATGCGCGGACCCACCCCGCCGCGCGAGCTATACAGTACAGCCGCACACATCACGATGCTAGCCTTCGAACAGTACAATTCATTTTTACCACACAAATAATTGGTTTTGTCGTTCCCTTTGTTTTCAGCACAGCAGAGGAAGAATGGGGCAAATATGACTCGCGGTGCTCGCGGTCGGTGCTGCTCCAGACGCCTTATCTCGCTCTGCCTTACTCAAGTCCCCCCTCCCCCCGGCCTTGTTGCACCAGGCTCCGTCCTGGCCAGTCCCATCGAGTCGGCGGTATCAGTCAGTGCCGGCAAAGCAAGAAGCGTGCGGATGTAGAGTCGCTGGAGGGAGGGCATGTGAGCGCGTGCGTGGTGTATGTGAAACCGGGTGAAAAACAAACGGGGCTTCCATTGACTTAGTGCTGTGTTGGATTTGGATTACTCCAAGATGACCGGCGCGCGCACCCTCGCGGCCCTGAACCCGGCCCTCGTGCTGGTCGCGATGCTCAACGTAGTGTTTGGCGTCGAAGGTAAGTTCTGTGCCCGGGCCGAGTAGCCCCCACCCTCACATCAACTCCTCATAATTTTACCGTCTTTTGTGTTCCTTTTGCATACTGCAATATTTTATGCATTTCGTGAAACTTTCCAGGGCAACTATCCACAACTACCCAACCGCCAACACTTGCCGAAATTAGGAATCTCTTGGACAGCCTTAACATCACGGACAACTACTGGGTGCGGCCGGACCTGGGCCCCACGACCATCAACATCTCCCTGGGCATCAAGTCCATTACCCTGGTCAGTGCGCAAAGACAACGTGTAGTGGGTGGGAGCTTCTCTCGCTGCTCGCTGACGACAGTTTTCTGTTACAGTACGAGATGCAGTCCACGGTGACGGTGAGCGCGTGGCTTAGGATGGTGAGTAAAACAGTGCTCCTCAAAATCATTTCTTCGATTGTCCACCAGCCAGCCTACGCTCGGTCGGAGCGAAGGGGCGATTTTGCAAAGCTCCATCTATAATGAGGAAGGGCGCGTAGCTGCCTGTGCGATTTTGCGTTTTCAACGTCGTTTTGATATCTCATTTCACACTGGTCCACGACTTACCGCGAGCATCTTTTCTCTTGTCCGGGTGAAGGAGTGGAGGGACAGCAGCAGAGTCTGGTCGAATTCCGACAACCCGGTCCACAGAGCCATCACGGTCCTCCCGATCAGCAAGGAACACATCTGGCACCCTGACATCGTCCTAAAAAATAGGTAAGGGTCGAACCGGTTCAACAGTCACCGATATTTCCGTTGGTGTCTCTAACAGTACGATTTCAATACAAAAACTTCCAGAAA